TTTCAATGATAGCATCTTGATTCATATGTCGCAGCTAATATATGCAACAGATGAAATAAGAATAATTTCCTTTACCATTGAGTTCCGGCAGGCGTAGAGCTAACAGAACTGGCAGCGTTGTGAGGCAGGGGCTCAAACATGTACGGCTGTAAGCCTTCTACACCAAACCAACCTTCTGCAGCGCTGGCGTCCTCTTCCACAACATCTTCATCCCCGCTTTCCTCCTCTAAATAAAAAAATGTATGACGGAGGAGACTCATCCACGACCTCCGACACAAAACTCTCCTCCTCTTGTTTCAGCTGTCCATAGCGTTCCTTGACAGTGTTGTTGCTAAGTGCAATTTGGTCCCAATGTAATTTCCCATTGAGAACCTACAGTACTAGCGCTAAGTTGCTAACTAGTCACAAAATACTTCAGAGAAACCGGCCACAACCAAACATGCTTGCGAATATTCCGCCACAACAATCCCACCCTCTTGATAAACGACAAATGTGACAAATCACATTCACTTTATTCACTCGTGTAAAGTCGGACACCACTCGGGAGAATTCGGAAATGCAACGGTCGGAGCAGCCGCTTCCCTACGACTTTAAGTTCTGGACTTGGAGCCTTTCTGCATGCAGTTTGCATGTTCTCCCCATACATGTGTGTGTGTGTTCTGCAGGTACTTTAGTTCCCTCCCAGAGTCCAAAAACACTGGTAGGTTAATCGGTCATTAAATTAACCCTAAGGTATGTGTGTAGCATGGTTGTTTGTCTCTGAGTCAATGGATTGGCAACCTGCCCAGTGTGGACCATGTCTAATGCCATAGACTGCTGGAGATGGGCAGCAAGCCCCATGACCCTGATGGCTAAGCCGTAGAAGATGAATGGAAGGCTGGGTTATGAGGCTTCGATTGCAGCTCTTAAATGTCCGCATTTTTCACTTTTTTTTTCAGGAATCGTAGCTGAATCAGCTGCCAAGAGGACTATCGGTCTAATAAATGGTGTGTCTGCTCTAATTTGGAGCCACACAGAATTAACAGCAAGCATTACCCATTTGGATCTATCCTAGTTTGCTTATAGGGCATTTGATTTTAAAACACCTTGAGGTTCACAAACCCATGTGAGACTTATTTTTATAGATTTCTGTTCTGCTTTTAACTACATCCAGCCTCAAATGTTAACAAACAAGTTTTTTGTTTTGCTTTTTAAAATATTGATTATGTTCTTGTAAATTGGCTTATAACTGTTAGTAACTGTTCGGTCTCAGAGTTAAAGGTAAATGGGCTACTTTTTGATCTTCTCCTTTCTACAAGGTCTTCCCACGGCTATGTTTTGTTACCTCTCTTATCCATAAAGTACACAAATTATCGTCATAGTCAACACAATCAGCAACATATTGCTGACAATAGTTATTAAATCTCTTTTTAGCACTGATGACCCTGAACAAGGAGCAGTGATCATGGAGTTTACTAAATGGTGTGAAACCTCCTTTGTACAGATTATTGTCTCAAAATCTAGACAGATAGTCATGGACCCCAGCAGAAGTTGTAATCTGCAACCTGCTGCGTTTTTTTTACAAAAATGTTTCAGTCACTAATACTGTAATCACAGCAAACTGTGTACAGTGATTGATGACAAGCTGACCTTTAAAGTCATTTTAGACTCTGTGTTTGCTGAAAAGCTCACAAGGTTTTTTTTTCTTTAGCATTGAGAATTTTATGTGGTTTCTTCTTTTATATATTTACCTGTTTAATCCTGTGTTGCTGAGTCTGTTTTCACTTTTAATATTATATTTTAGTTTGATACTGTATCTCAACTGGTAAAGATTGTAACAGACTTCAGAACATTATAAATTTTTGTTTAAAAAATTAGCAATTATCAATCTGACGGACATTAATTATTTGCATTAGAACAGGTTTATTATTAACATTAAAAAGGATATGTGAGCAACAGTGAATTGCAGTCACTTAAATGGCTTGATATGTCTTTGTGCCTCATGTATGTATGTATGTATTTATGTAAGTATGTAAGATGTTGGATCTCCTAGTCTGTTTCATATTTTGTTCTTTGTCTTATTTTCCTACTGAGCTACACAACGATTCAGGTTAATAAAGATGGTTGAATTGAATTAAATTGAACTTCTGGCTTTGTACAATTTAAACCCATTTCTGAATTGTTGAAACTATACAGAACATTGTTTTATCAGTAACATTTCTGACATTGTTTGAAGTTATAATGCGGCTAAGGACATTCTCGTGCATGGTAACTATTTTGGAGGGAAAGAAATGTTTAAACAGTCACACTGTTTAAAATAGGGAAATTGTTCCAAACTAACTCAAACTATATTTGATTTGTTTTCAAATGTAATGGCACAAACCATGTTATCAATAAATAAATGCTGATATATTCCAGTACATTCCATATAATAGTGAATCTTTTCAATTTTTTACTTCCTGTGATTTCTAGAATTTATTATCTTAATATGACAACCTACTGTATAGGCTATAATCATAGGATGTAATCTTGAAACGAAAGTATTTCAGATAAATTTTTTACATTGTGCTGGATAGTATAGTATTTATTTATTTGATTTAATTTTTTGACGTCCTTTCAAACCATGTACCAATCTTCTTGTTCTTTCTGACAGTTTTTATTTTCTCTAACCTTAAGGCAGGGTCTAGATATGTCTTCAAATATTCAATTATTTTATTGGGGTTTGGTTGTTGTGTTTTGGCTAGAGCTACAAAGACCATGTTTTAGTTTGATTGATTTGTTTGTTTACCTTTAGGTATTCACACGTAATTAAATTCTGGGGATATGCAGGGAAAATAGATAAACATTTAAAACAGGGGAATTTTAAAGGACAGCAAAGTTTACGTATGATTTGATATTGCGTGTCAAAGTAGCCACAGTTTGAGTTGGCTCTTTATTTTTTTATGGCTTCAGCAAAAAAGACACTCACCAGAGCACTGCGTAAGGTAATTAAACCTGGTCAGTAATTAAACCTGGTCAGTGATTTTACCATTAAAAAAATCACAGCAGTCTGCAAACTGCTTCTCAGGAAAGAAACACTTCTGGATTTTTGGGGAAAAATTTGCTTTTTAGTCTCTCAAGTATGTGATCTGTGAGGTTTGACTTACTAAGGCTTAAAGGAATAGTACACCCAAAACATGATTAGCCTTCATTTTCTACTCACCCCCATGCTGAACAAAACTCTGGAGTACTTTTTTGATATCTCAAATGCATCTGGAGATCTGGGAGGCTTCTTGCTGTCTGCTGACATTCAAATAATGGAGGTCTATGGCGCCCGAGACAGAAAGGTCCACAAAAGTCCACAAAAAACGTGTCAATATTCCTCCATACTGCTCGTCCAATGTAATCCAAGTGTCCTGAGTGGGTAGCATCCAGAATTTACTCGAAAACGAAGTCATTTAGAATGTTTTTAGAGCCTAAACAGTAGTGTATAAGATTTCCTAATAGCGCCCCCATGCGCGCTCACGATTCTACGGAAGCCGGCAGACCAAACCGGAAGTCAGCGTCTGCTCTGCCAGTAATGCAAGCGTAGAAGAAGAAATGTGCTGTTTACCTGTGCAAAGAAAGAAACAACGAAAGAAAAATGTCTGAGGACTTCAGTGTTGAGGAAGAGCATGAGTTCTTTGCCGAGCTGAATGCGCTGGTTTGGTCTGCCGGCTTCCGTAGAATCGTGAGCGCGCATGGGGGCGCTATTAGGAAATCCTATACACTACTGTTTAGGCTCTAAAACGTTCTAAATGACTTCGTTTCGAGTAAATTATGGACGCTACCCACTCAGGACACTTGGATTACATTGGACGAGCAGTATGGAGGAATATTGACACGTTTTTGTGGACTTTTATGGACCTTTCTGTCTCGGGCGCCATAGACCTCCATTATTTGAATGTCAGCAGACAGCAAGAAGCCTCCCAGATCTCCAGATGCATTTGAGATATCAAAAAAGTACTCCAGAGTTTTGTTCAGCATGGGGGTGAGTAGAAAATGAAGGCTAATCATGTTTTGGGTGTACTATTCCTTTAAGTTTCATTCCAAATTTGGCTATACTGTGATACTTTTTGCATTGAAATGTGTCAAAATGCTAGGAAGAAGAGAGGGCATAAACATAATCAGCTTTATTTGGTAAGTTTGTCCACACAAAGGAAAATTTTGTTTGGTTCCACTTGTCAATGAAGAGAGGTTAAAATAGGAGGAGGCCAGAGGAATAGAGAAAAGAACAAATTGGTCGCGTAAAACAGGAGAGCTTAGACATTTGACTAAGAGTACCTCAGCTGTCAGCCTGTGCCTTCCATGCTTTTTTCATCATTTAACTTCAGGCTTGTTACATCCCGGCTCAGGTTGTATTTATGCTCACTCTTTTCTCTCAAACACAATCAAAAAAAAAAAAAAAAAAAGAAATACGTTGTGTAACACGTGGGACGTAAACTAGGTTACAAAATGCCTTCAAGGCCACAAAGAGAATAAGTCTTTCTACAAAGACTGACTGCTGCTGAGGAGAGATAATCTGAAAATAGTTACAAAAAAGCCAATTTGACAGAAGTGAGACCCAGGTTTGAGGTGGGTTGTTGACAGAAGTTTGCTCCAATTTGTGACATAAACTTGTTTAATTTCTGGCACGTAATTCCTAATTCTTTTCTCCTCGTTTTTAGAGCAAATGTTTTCATTACAATACACTGCTGAATTAAGATGGCAGCAGTTTTCAGATGTTTACATGCATGACCAAGCATTTTGCTGCTGGGACAGAACCAGTAATAATCTGTTTTGCAAAAACTGTTGACATTTATTGTAAAGTCGTTCTCTAGAGATCGTACTCTTAAAACTCCGATGCACACAGAAAGCTAAATAATTTACTGTATTTGTTGATAAATAAGAAGATTTTTTATCATGCAGTTTTTTTATTAATGCATATTCTTGGTGACCAGCTGCACACAATCTACCTGTTCTTCTCTATTATCTATCGTAATTGTTTTTGTTTCTTTTAACAGGACAAGGACTTCTCTCTCAAAGTGCTTTGCAGCTCAATACCCAGGATGCCTATGCAGCTGCAGGTTACCATAGTAACCAAGGGCTGACACTTGGGGAATCGGTCGCAGCCCGCAGTGGACAGGTCGGAGGAGCAGTTCACAGCTACAACCAGGTGAACTTTTCTTTTTATCTCCTGTCTTTCTGCTGTTCTTTATTCCTCCCTTCTCCTCCTCCTCTTCCCTCATACTCTTTTTGAACCCTGACCTGTGTTTTTCCTTCTGCTCGCTCCTCCGTCTAGGTGACATCCAGCCGTGCAGCTGTCCAGTTAGTGGGCACAGACTCTTCCTCCCAGTCCCAGAGAGACTCATTTGCCCAGCAGGTCCTTGGCAGCGCCTTACACATGTCCACTGAGGGCGGATCTGCACCTGCTGGACCGTCCATGTATTACTCCTGTGCCACTTTGCCTGCTCAGGTATAGAATGACAGTTGGATTGACTGTTTGATAGATGATGCAGAAGCTGTAATGACACCGTAGAGTTTTGAAGGCTTTTAGGAGTTGAATTAATCATCCTTTTTGTGCAGGGAATACGTGAGGACCATCCAATAATCATACCTTGGTTAATACATGGTTATGTAAACTGTGTAGCTGCCTTATTTGCAGAGGCTTACAGCTTCAGATCAATGGACTTCTGTAATATTGGGGACTTTTTTTTAACAAAGAGCATATGCAGCATGCACATAAATGCGCAGAAATATTGAATCAAACCTTATTTTTTATGTTTTTTTGCATTAAACTGAATTGAAATTGAATCTGTGTCTTTTGTTAGGATTTTATGTCTTGTAGGGTTTTCTGTTGTGTATATACCTTTCTATTTTTGGAAGGATAGCTCTTTATTCATTAAGGGAATGTAGGGGAACGCTATGAAGAGGCATTAAAATTGACCAAAAAAAACCCCCAAAAACCTTATGTCAAAAAAACATAAGGTGTTTCCTTGCTAATACCTGGCATAGGAGAGAAAATGAAAATCTCTTTGTTTATCAGGAGTATCTTGTAGTTCCTGGGAGTGACAACAGGTAAAATAACACATCATTTTATATTAGAAATACAGAATTGCATTCATCTTAAGATTAAATCACCTCAAATGTGAACATAAAGTTTAACTGAATGCTTTCATTTTTCTTCTTGTAAAATGCAAACATAATACATTAAGAGTGTAATAAATTTTATAAATTTAGGTGATTGAATAAGAGCGTGTTTTTTACTTTTTCTAATTATTTTTGTCATTTTTACTTTATGAATATTGTTGCTAAAGTATTTTTTTCTTCTTTGTTTCACCCTTGTCACTAAATCACAAAGCAGTTTAATTTGACTCTTCGTGTTTAGTCTAATAGTCCTTCACTCTTTATTAAAGGGTAGAGGTTCTATTTTCTAATTTCTCAAAACTAAAGAAAAAGGAAAAAAAATACAATATAAGAATTAAAAAGTGGAAACTACTTAAAATGACCGACACTCTGTCCTAACAATGTACAACTTTGTTCTGGATTACAGCGTGTCAGCTCCCCTCTGCAGGCGGTAGGATCCCCCACCAAGCTGCAGCGCCTGGGTTCAGCCTCCGCAGACATGCCTAGCTACGCCACACTACAGAGGGTGTCTTCTCCCAAACAGTCACCAAGCCGACTTGCAAAATCCTACAGGTTGGTTCAACTTCAGTCTTAAAGCTTGAGTATCACAGCGTAATTTGCACATTTAGAATATGGTTTGCATCTTCTTCCTATGCCTACGTCTACCTCCCATAGTCCAATAACCAGACTGGTGTATGTATCTGTGTTACCCTGCAATAGGGTAACACGGATGGATGGATGGATGGATGGATGGATGGATGGGTGGGGGTGGATGTAGTTAGAAAAGCTAAGGAATAACTTCCTGTAGGCTTCTGTTGAGCCCCTTTGTGGTTTCATTCTAGAACTAAAGGATCTACGGTTGGAGTTTAGTATGTTATTCAGAGGGTTTGACCAGTTATTCAAAATATAAAGTTATTTCCTCAGCATTTTCTGCTTAGACACCTATGTCAGAGACTGCAGTTCCACACTCAGGACAGAGCCAGCTCTCCTAATGAGATAATTAAGTTTTTTGGCATCTGTTCTCTTAGTTTGCAGATTTTAACAAGCTGTTTAGTGAAAAGATAACGAATGATTGGCAAAACATCTGCCACAGGTAAAGGCAGATGTTCCTAGACCTTGGTTTCGTTAGGAAGGAGAGGTGGTGCCGTTTCTTGTAGGGGCCATTAGTAATGAATGTCACGTCCAGTTTGTTGTCTATGCGGACCCAGGTATTCTATCGCTGTCAACAATGTCCACTTCAGTACCCTTAATATTGATAGAGTTGAGGGGAGTAGTCTTCTTCTTCCTTTAGTCCACTTGAAGCTCTTTAGTTTTAGCTATGTATGTTTTGCAGGTGGTTCTTTGCACACCCCCCACGACACTTAACTACATCTCTGTTTCCAGCTTCGTGGCCACTCGAATTGGTAAAACAATCTTAGTCATAGGATTTTAAGAGCTTTTTGCTTTAAATCTGTCTTTTTTTTTGCTGCTCTGCAGCAAGAGTAATGCTCCTTTGGTTTATAAGACACTAATATTGGGGTTTCCACCGCTAGCTACAGCTGGTTCTTCTGGTATCTCATTAAAATGACTGGAAACAACGTGAAGAAACTTTTTAGTTTTGAATTTACCTTATTTATAAACTTGACGTACCTTGATTGTGACAAATAATCCATTGTTGTTTACATACTTTCCTTCATTAGGGAAATAAAATTAAAGAAAGTGACACACAACTCTGTCAGTTTACAGCTTTTGGTTATACCTCATGCACTGAATTTGCAAACTAAAGTCTTCACAGGCCTAACTATGCAAATTAGCTTCCTGTTAGATAACATGTTTGCAGATTTTAACAAGCTGTTGCACAAAGCAAGCTGAGTGGAAAGTTGGCCTAAACAAGAGGTCTGTCAGCTGTAACAATGTGAAGGATTATAAAACATGCTTCTGGGCTATAATTGAACATAGTGTGGCTAATTAGAATTTGAATTATAGGTCATTATCTTTTCTAAACTCAAGATGTTTGGATGTTTAGTGAAATTGTTGCTATATAAAAGCCATGTGACAGACAGAACTGTTCAAGGTCACCCCTTCCCTTTGGATAATTACTAGACCATCACTACCATTGGATGAAGTGGGTGTAGAGAGAGCTGAATGAAGAAGTCGTAAGACACCATGAGAAAAATAACTTTCCCAAAATTTGAGCTATACATTACATGAGCAGATTTTTTAAATGTTTTATATCTTGCCTCTTTACCAAAAAGTACTATTGCTTGGTTGACTCAAAATAAATTTGAAACTCCAAAAAAGTAATAATAGATAACATTTTACATAATTTTGCTTTTGTTTAAGTATAAAGATTATATGGTGTAAATGTAATTTGTTTGTCCTTCCGCCAAAAAAAACTCTGAACCTTCCTATCTGGTACTGAACGAGTATGATCAGCTACTTTTACAACTTTTATTTTCCATATATAAAAAAAAAAACAAAAAAAAAACAGATGAAGTGTTGCTTTTTTCAATGATATTAAAATCAACCCTAACACTGATATATTTGATATGGGTAGATTTGGTAAGAATGAAAGAAGTTTGACTCTACTCATTCTGATTCTGTGCTATAAGAACGTACTAATTTATAATAACTGCTACAAAACGTAGACATGCAATTATTAGAATTTTCTGGCCCAAATCTGGATCTATGTAACTTTAAAGATTTCAGCTGCCGATGCTTTTAGCTATTTCAGATTCATCTTTGAAATCTATAATGTAAGAATATGATGTAAATGTAAAAAAAAAACCTTGCGTTTATTATACATGCATACTGCTATGACTTGTTTATTTTTTCTTTAGCTGTAGATTGACATTTTAAACTTGTTTGATTTTTTTTTTCATTTTAGCAATAAGTTTAATCATCATGGCTTAAATTAAAAAACAGCATCCATATTTATTTTTTAGGAGAAAGTAGCTATTTACTGTAAACATGAGACGAAAAAAAGGATTTCAATGGAAGACAAATTGACTTAGCTTTTCCATATTCCAATTTAGCTTCTTGTTTATCTCCTTTAACATTGTCTCTCTCTTTTTCAGCCTAATTGAACGTCAGATGTGTTCTGAAAAAATAATAACCATTTTCTTAGTGTTACCTTTAAATTTCGGCGCTTCAATTTCACTTATACCACCTCAGTAACAGGGAATTTAGCCATCGGATAAAATAGCAAACTTGCAAACACTGTAACAGTTTCCACAATGAAGAAAGTATTTACCTGCAACGTGTCAGTCTCTTAGTAAATAGGAATCAATAAGTAAGTGAGGTTTTCTAGGTTATTCTCTATTGCATTTCATATACTGAGTATGCATAATGTTTAATAATGAAGAAAAAAAACTCAAGTAAAAATAGCCTCAGTGTTTGGAAAGGATGGAAGCACTTTGTTTCTGTTCAGACCTGCTTTTCAAATCCATGAATCTGTTCTGGATACTTATGCTGCAGAAGATAAAATATATAAAAAATATATTTATGTCGTTTCTGCAGCACTTCATCGCCTATTAATATGGTAGCATCGGGCGCCGCTGGTTCCTCCTCACCACTCCCCATGGCCACCTCTCCCGGCGGGAATCACACCTCATCCCCCATCCACCAGCTCAGCTCGGCTGTGGGAAGCTACGCCACCCTGTCACCCACCAAGCGCATGCTGCACCACATCGGAGCGGACAGCTACAAGATTTCCCACGAGCTTTACGCCAATGCAACCCTGCAAAGGCCTGGGAGCCTGGCAGGTAGAGGTCAAGGCAATTTCATTTCTTTTCTAAATGTTGGTGTTGGTCATGACAAGTAAACATCTTCATCTGTTTTGGACTTTAGTTAAGATTGTGTGGCTCATTTTCCCTCCTTTCCTGCTAACACACTTTCTGTTTCATGGAAACTCCTTTTCATCTATGATCTCATCAAATTAATAGATTTTCTTAAGGGCTTTCTTTCATTTTAATGATTGCTAGTTAATGTGACATGAGCCCAATATCCATCCATGTGTGATTAATGTTCAGCAGCTTGGGGACAAAGTTATGATAGTAAACATGTGCTACATAATGTCTGATTTAACGCACTTGATGATTATTCAAAATCTTTTAGATCATAAATGAAGGATTAATATAGATCCATTGTGTTTTTTTTTTTGTTTTTTTTGTCTTTGTATGAAAAATAAGTCCTTGATGCTTTTTAAAATCAATCCCTTGGTGGTCATATTTATTGAAACCATTCTTAAAGACGTGTAAAAACCATTAAAATAAATTAATGAAGAAATAAATAAATGCAAACCAGTACAGAAACCCAAATACAGAAACCATACATCTCATGGACTTACAGAGCCACTTTAGTAGTGATCGAGTATCAAAAGCATACCTGTTCGAGCTACCTGTTGCTTAGCAACACTGCTGCCAGCAAGTGGTGGATCTTCCTCAGCTTGAAGGTTGCATTCCCTGAAGCATTACAGATTTTCAAATAAAAAGTCTTGAAGTCTATACTGAATGAGCTGCTCTTGACTCTTTCAACAATGTTTTAGCTTTAATAAAAACAGAAATATGCAAAACAGAAGCGCTGCATGTAGGACTCCCATAGCAGTTTTACTCCATTTCCTGGTCTATGATATGCATTCATTTCAGACCAACGGGAGTAACCTCACACAGCTGGCTTCAATGTGAGTTATAGTCTTCTTTCAAAAGGTTCAATTCATATACAAACCTGGACCTAATGAAAAATAAAGTCTGCTATTCGTCCTGGCCAAACAAGTGGACCAAGTTACTTTTCTGGTCTGAATACATCCTTAGAGTATTCACACCTTTGAACATTTTACAAAGTTAAAAATACAGAGAAATTATGTTTGGCAGTTTCTCAAAAATCTAAGTACATCAGTGGTCTCAGACTCCAGTCATTGAGGGGCAGAATCTTGCAACTTTTAGATGCATCTCTGGATCAACCTATCTGACTAAATCATTAGCGAATTATCAGAGCACTGTAGAGCTTGACTTTATGCATAAGAAAAACTCAAGCCATTTGATTCAGGTGTGTAGGGCAATCTCCATTGTTCTGCAAATTTGTTGTTTTCTATAAGATTTTGGTCTGGTCAATCAATCAATCAAATTTATTTGTATAGCCCTTTACAATAGCCAAATGGTACCCAAAGTGCTTTACAACAAAGCCATAAAACAATACATAACACATATAAAACATACAGATACAATTAAAAGTGCTGTAGTGGTGCAGCGCTGCAGGACATTAAAAGCCTTCCAGAGGTGCATAGAAAGGAGCACACCGAAAGAGGACATCTAAGAGACAGCATTATCCTAGTCAGAATTAAATGCTAATTTAAAAAAGTGGGTTTTAAGCTTTTTTTTTTTTTTGGTAAACCATTTTCTGGGATGTTATGTTATGTTTGTCGGATATGCTGAGGAACGACTGAATATCCAATTAGCAGTTTTGCTCCAAAATCAACCATATTTTTCATTTATATTCTCTGGATTTTAGTACCACAATCTCTAAAAATGTTATTGGGGATTTTTGAGGTTAAAAAAAAAAAACAAAAACAAAAAAAAAACACAGCAACACAGATCATCCACTGTATGCACAAATACAATTACAAATACATATTTTTTTTCTGATAGTGCTGCCAAAAGTCAGTGTTGTCCAACTATTGTTAAAGACATTGTGACAACAGGATGATATTCTTTGCTGCAGTGCTTTAAAAGCCAGCATGGGAAACTTGCCTTACATCTCCTTTGGAAATATATTTCTCATGTAAAAAGGGAAGATAAATACAAGTTCTACCCAACTCTGGTGGTCATAGGCTAAACTAATGGGCCAATATGTTAAGGCTTAAATAATGCCCAGGGTGATTATTGGATCCTACAGAATCCTGGAGATTTCAAAAGAAAATATGGGATTATCTCCACTGAATAGACTGGACTTTGTTACTTTTAAATTTTCAAATTTAAGTATAAGAATGAGCTTAAAATATAAAATAAATTGTAATTCAAGCATCTGTACATGTCTTAACTAGGAGAGCTTAAACATGTTTCTGGCATTTTATGTTTTTTGTGTGCATTTGGCTTTTATTACATTTATATAGCTGCTTTTTGTATTTGTTGCATATAATTATCCCTAAAAAAGACTTTTTTCACTTATTTAATGTGAAAGCATATCTAATTGTCTTTCAATACAACATAAAGCTGTTTATTAATATTCATCAAAGATATTTCTACACATCAGATAAAGTTTGTCTAATGACAGTTATTTCATCTCTTCCAGGCTCCAGGGGTTCATACAGCAGCCAGCACAGTCACCTGGGCTCTGAACTGCGGCCCCTTCAGTCTCCTGAGCACCACATTGATCCTATCTATGAGGACAGAGTCTACACCAAACCCAACCTTAGAGGACAAGGTGAGCGGACATATACTGACAGAGGTTGTGTGTTTTGGGCATAGAGGAGATGTCTACAAGCACTGAGTCTATATAACAAAATCCCACAAGACAGGAGGGGGAAAACAAACAGGAGGCTTGACACATGGAGGCTAAGCAGAAAATCCACACAGTATACAGGGAATGGAGCCAGAGGTAAACAGAAATGCATTAACATGAGACACAAAACTGGCATGTCAACAGTTTTTAAATAATTTAGTCGCCAAATTAAAATTAATGAATGGCAAATCAAAATTTTAGACAAGGAGCTTATCACATATTAAACAATAGAACTCAGTTTAAGATAGTTATTCTATAACCTTTGTTGTTCTAGTTTGAGATTTAAACATCTTACATTAACAATTAGCTTATCTAGCTTTATCAACTAATCATTAACTAA